CTGTGCAGCGGAGAGCCGGGTTGCGGGTCGTCGATATCAAGTGGCTTGCGTGAGCGTCGGAGAGGTTTGCGTGAGCAGGAGCGAAGGCTTGTTGCTCATAAAGTGCAAGACACTTTAGAGGGCAGCACTCTGTGTTCACGTAATAGTTTCAAGCTAGCCTCGTCTGCAAAATAATTTTGACTTTCATATGGTCTGATACGACACCCTGCACACACGGAGACTATGGCGAAACATTTTAAAATAAAATTTCATAGCTTCTATTTTAGCTAATGTTCAATCATTGACTGTTTCCTTGTGCCTTGTTTCCCCACTGGCTATTAAATTAACCACCAAACAAACAGGAATAGTACGTGAATGAAAGTCCCCGCGCATGCGCAGAGGAGAATTTGGTCAGTATTCCCTCAGTGACTGTAAATCGCGCCTCCGCTTAATACTATTTTAAAGTATTTTGGTAATTAAATAGCTTTATTATTCATTTGCGAAAGTTTATTTTAAGAAAAGTGATCATTAATTAAATATCTTCAAAGGAAGTTTATTTCTGATTTATTCCTTGTTAACATTATTTTCCAATAATACCCACAATGCACCTGTGACAAAACGTAACTCTTGCACCATGCGCAACGTCAACAGGCTCGGGCAGGGAAATGCTCTGGCTGCCTGATTCACTCGCAATCTTGGCAAACAATAAAAAACTGGATGCTGATATGTAAACAAGCACACAGGCTTGTAATCATTTTCAAGATTCAAACACCCTCATAGACATTAATAAACACAAATATTTTCCAAAACATACAAGTGGAACACGAAATTCATACAACAAATTTCCGACAAGCCACACCAACATTATAGATCTACAAGCACGCACACTTCTCGCATAAGACTGAACAGGATACCACAGTACTGCATAGAAACAAAAACAAACTTTACAAACGATTTTAGCAAACACCCTTTTTAACTAAAACTTTCACAAACGCCTGTCCCACCACTTAGCCCTAATTTTTCCCTCGTCCACAAGCTACCTTTAATTACATGAGTGATTCGCGCAGAACAACGCCCAACGTAATGGTAAATAGATTCACCTTCCCCACCCATGTACACACACACCAACACACACACATATATATGTATATATGTGTATATATATATATATATATATATATATATATATATAATATAGAAATAGATATATGTATTTATTATGATATATATATATATATATATTATATATTATATATTTATATATATATATATATATATATATATACTACACATGTACTGTACAATGCATCTATAATAAAAACAACAAATTACTGTAAATGCGAGGATTGCAATAAAAGTTACATAAAGTCTGGTTTGATATATATACAGCTTAAAAAAAACCCCAATGGCAGATGATTCCACAATGTAATATGATAATCACGTATTTCGTGATTATGAAGTGATCGTGTATATTGCAACTTACTAATTATCATACGCATAGTTAACTATTCTATCGTAAAAATTAACGTAGTGAACGATATTTCAATTTCTTTGTTACCAGAGAAAGGTAACTTAGAGAGAAGAGAGAGAGAGAGAGAGAGAAAGGGGGGGAGGCAGAAAACCCAGAAAGAGAGAGAAGAGAGAGAGAGAGAGAGAGAGAGAGAGAGAGAGAGAGAGAGAGAGAGAGAGAGAGAGAGAGAGAGAGAGAGAGAGAGAGAGAGAGAGAGGGGGGCGGGGGGGGAGTAGAGGAGAGAGAGAGAAGAGAGAGAGAGAGAGAGGAGACGAGAGAGAGAGAGAGAGAGAGAGAGAGAGAGAGAGAGAGAGATGAGAGAGAGAGAGAGAGAGAGAGAGAGAGAGAGAGAGAGAGAAAGAAAGAGAGAATCCTAACGAAAAAATCATTATGAAGAACATTCTCTCACACGGCTGTTATCATGATATTTATTTCTCGAATACACACCTTGAGTACCAAGAAATAATAATTGTTCCACATGTAATCGAAGTATTTACAACGGAATCAGTTTATTGGGCACTCTGAGCCTCACATATTTATTATCATTATCATTTTATTTATTCTTATTTTTGATTTTTATTTTTTTATTATTATTATTGTTTATTATTATTTTTTTTTTTTGAGAAATGAGCTACCAGAGTTATAAATGTAATTTTGGGACAAAATTATTAAGATGTGGTCCTTGCAGAGGGGGGGGGACCAGACCTTGAAGAGGGCATAGCCTGGGGGGAGGGAGGGAGGTGTTGTTGCCCCCAAATGACCCCTGGATTCGGTTTTCTACGCGGAATGGAATACAGCCCTTAATTTGCAATTAACGTTGTGTGCTATATATTCGGATTCAAATGATGCAAGATGTATCGTTAAACTAATTGTACCACCTGGCATTGAGAAATTATTTATTCTCATTCACACGTTTTCTATATTAAATACAGACAATCCGTAGCATTTATATTAGTTATGGATGAAATGGATTCGAATGTCGATGAAATAGAGGTATATCATCTGAAGAAACTATACGGTTTAATACACTATGAAGGTAACGAATATTTAATTTAGAAATAAAAGATATTGAATAAATAAACCTATTTGAAACAGACCACTGTGGTATGTGTAATTCACGTCAATTACAACTTCACACGCGCGTGCACACGTACACGCGCGCGCAGTGCCCAAGAAACTGATTCCGCTTTATGCAGAAGATTAATACTACATAGATGAATTCAATAAAATAAACACCGCTATCGCCATCTGGAACTACGAGAAAATCGTTACCAGTCAGGAAAACAACCATTCCCACCAAATCACCTCGTTATCCTCTCTTCCCTTTACAGTCAGCGTGGAAAGCAACGGGAATGGCCGGAGTGACGCACTTGCCGAAAGCTCGTTGGTTGGCTTGGTTCCGCTCTGCAGGTCGGGTGTCTAATCTCTGCTGACCGTTAAGTGTGCAAAAGAAGGAAAGAAGCTGCCGGAATGATGAAGGTAACGTAGAGTTTTAAAAGTAAAAAAGAGGATCGGTATTCAGGTTAGATATGGCAAATCAAATGATTTTCTGTCGCAATAATTAGGATATTTTTCTTCTTTGGAGTATATACATGGAAGTGACAGTTGGCAGGATTTCCTGCTGTTCGACTTTGATAGTTAAAGCCTTTTGTAGCATCCCGAAAATCCAAACAGATACATGTTTATCGTAAATATGGTAGAAGTTAGACACCAACGCGCATAGATAGAGAGGAAATAGTGGGATAGAATAGTTTGGAAATGGACACCGTCATCTTATAGAGCGGAAGAAATAGTGGGATAGAATAGTTTGGTAAAATTTCAGATTCTGCCAGCCGCCTCCTTTCGAAAAAAAAAATTGGAATGGATAAATCCTTTGCTGTTTTAGCACTGTAATGCTGCTGTTATCCGTCGCATCTGAATGCTTGAGCAGTGACGTAACTTGTACTTCCTAACGTCAAAGTTGCGTGTAAGGCTGTTTCGCACTGGATTTTTGGGAAGAATTTGCATGATTTACACAGCAAAACATGTCAAAACTAAAAAAAAGTCTTCCGGTGGCAATTAGGGTGTCAACCCTTCCCTCGGGCAGTTCGCCTAGTCACGGCACCGTAAATTGCTAGGTTAGGTTGGGGTATGGGTTAGGACGTTTTTTGGGGCTTGGGAAGGTGTGAAATCCCGTAGGTTTAGCCGAAAGATGGGTTGGATTCCCGTAGTTTTTCGAACTCTGGCGCGTCGGTGCGTAGACTTTCAAAGATGGCTGACATGTCCGTAGAGTTTCATTAGCCAGTTTTTAGCGTTTTTTGTGCTAGTTTTACACGTTTCTGTTCGCTATTATTATTTAATCCTGTTTTACCCTATAATTTCCCTGACATGCTTATGCCCTCCCTTACTAACGGGACTTAACACCTCAAGATCGTCAGCTGTGATTGCTACGGAAATTATCATTAGATTCATTCTCATCACATGAGAATAAATCTGATATAAATATTGTCTGGGAAGTCCCGATTGTCATAATCGAAAAATTAACCAAAATGAACAATTTACACTATTGACAGTATTTCCGTCTCAAGCTGTCTACGTGCTCGACGCGGATGTTGTCACACTCAAACTATCATCCCATTTTAGAAGTTTTGGACAATATGCGGTATGAGGTAGTGCCCAAGTTGAGAGGTAAAACCTATATAAATTGAGACCGATACAAACCAAGACACTTTTCTTCTATGGCAATATTTGTGCAAATGCTTCCCAAAGGTGCTATACGTAAATGAACAGAGATGAGGGCCCAATTTTGCCGAAGTCCATCATCTCATCGTGACGAAAGTAAACATTGGACTGGACGCAGAACCGATTACTGCATTGTTCAGACTAGTGCATGTATTGCTGCGCGATTGTCAAAATATTTTGCTTATCAGTCTTGTCATTCCATATTTGTTTTCAAAGACCTTGATGAATGTGTTTTATATCTCATTTACGCGTTTTAAGATTGATTTACAGGTTTTAACGGGAATCGGTCTGAAGGACCTTCTGCGCATGCGCATTTTCGCGTTTCTTTCCGCCAGTTTTGACAGGATTCGCGGGTAGTTGGTGACAGAGCCGGTAAGAAATGTTTTGTTTTTGGTGTTGCATCGATTCTAGGTTATTAAGACTATACAGTGGCAACAAAGAATAAGACCTTAAACTATCGCAGTACCCCAATTCCCGAAAAAAGCGATAGAAACGAAGCGATCCACGATCCACAATAGACCGACAGGATGGACCGACCGAAAGAAGCAACGGAAAGTTGACAGTTCGGTCTTTCGATATATGAAGGTATATGGTTTGTTTACAGTATGGATGTACCGCTCTTGCCGTACATAGCGAGGTGGAGAGAATGTGTCCCGGGGGCGTTGGCCCCCCATCAACCCTCCCCTCGCGCACGCCTAGTCACGGCCCTGGAAATTGCTAGGTAAGGTTATGGGTTAGACCGTTTTTTTTGTGCTTGGGAAGGTGTGAAATCCTGTAGATTTTGCCGAAAGATACGTTGGATTCCCGTAGTTTTTCGAATTTCGGCGCGTCGGTGCGTAGACTTTCAAAGATGGCGGGCATGTCCGTAGTTTCATTAGCCGATTTTTAGCAATTTTTGGGCTAGTTTTGTTTGTACGTTCTTATTTAAGCCTGTTTTATCCCCATCCTTCCCCTGCTAATGGGTGAATAAGAGCCCGCTGTTGCTTAATGTTTTATCCTATTTCTTCCGCTCTGTGTCCATTTCCCTCAATCAACGCGTGTCACACAAACGGTTTTAATTTCATCATTATTTTCAATTTTACATAAAACCTGCA